TACATCTACTTACATAATCTTCATGGAAAAATGTTTCTGTACCTCTGTGCAGGAAAGCCAGCAGAACTTATTCAGGACCCTTTATTTTTTAAATACAATGCACTGGTATTTAAATTAAATATAATGCATTTATGTAATACAATGCATGTATTTAAATTAAATACAATGCATACATTTAATACAGTGTGTTAAATACAGTGCACTGGTATGTGGCATCTTTTTCAGTGTTTTTAGGATGTTTCTGTTTTCACATCTGTCTGCAGGGTGCTGGTGATGCCCTCTGGACAGAGTGGACATGTACAGAGAAGCAGGGAAATAGATTAAAGGCAGTGGCCTAAATACAGTTAAATTCTGTTTCATCTTGCAGCAGCAAACATAAATGTAGCTATTAAGTAGATTAAAAGTTGTTCAAGATAAAGAGGGGTTCAGCTGCACTCACACGGGGGCCGGGTGTGTTGTTGATTATCACGTCACTGTTTCGACAGTATCTCAAAGTGGCAGTTTGCTCTAAGAGAAGGAAGAATTTCATCGTAGTTCAAGCCTAGTTCTTGAAAGACGTCATTGCCAGGATCACCAAAGCAGATGGACCTTGTATGTCGAGCTGAGATTTTGGAAACCGAAACAGAGCTATCCAGCTTGAGGATGGCGCATGGCCGTGTCTAGCTCCCTGTACTGTCTGGCACATGGTAGAGATAACGCTGGAACTATATCTGTAGAATCCCACGGGCTCAGGTTCAAATCCCACTTCCCATTGCAAACTGCCCCAGACCACATTAAGCTATCTGCCATTTCCAAAGGATGCTTTCCAGTGGGCCCCTAGAATTTCTAACTTTTGTTTACTTTTATCTTACTGCTCAGCCAAGGAACATAATTTTCCTGACACCCCCTTTCTCCATGAGCACAAAGACCACCACTTACTTTATTTCACAGTATTTCTTGAGCAGCTACTATGTGCACAGCTCTTTGCCAGGAGCTTTCTAAATCCTGAAAACAGAGGTGCGTAGGTCTTCAGGGAATGTACATTCCCCTGGGAGAAGGCAAGTAATAGATTTGCATAGCGGATAGATGTCCAAAACTTTGGACGTTAGATAAACAACCCTACTTTCAAATATTGCCATCATTATTTTATTTGAAGCCTTAATCCTGCAGATTTTACTCAGAGAATTTGAGCTGCACTCCCTCTGCCTCTATCCCCTTAAATGATATTATAAACCCATCTGGTGCTTGAGTCTTCTTCCCCAAGACACTGAGTGTTCGTGCTTTCTGTCCTTTGCTTACGAACTGACGTGCCGCAGACGCAGCCTCCGTATCTGCACGGCCCTTCACGTCCAGCTACACACGCTGCTGTCCTCACTACTCCGGCAACGATAGAAGAAACTCAGCCTGCCGAGACTGAGCTGCTCAGAGGGCCTCTCTGCACCTGCTTCTCCCACCCACTCCACGCATCACCGTTCTCTGGGCGACCGCGTTACCTTCCGCAGGTCTCTCTTGAGATTTGTGGTCAGGGCTCCCCCTCACTCAGTTGCCCACCCTAATGCACTGGGCCTCTTGTGCAGAGAAGCCCAGGTGCAGTTCTGGCTTGGTCCCCTGCTTCTTGCCTCTAACCCTTAATAAGACAAAGTTTTCTATCTAAAGGGAACCATTTTCTACCAACTTAAGTTCTGTGTCTTGCAACACTGGGTTATCGCCCAAACTCTGTTATTACTTGCCCCGCAGTTTCCTCATGGTACCAGAGACTGATGCTCAGGCGTCTGTCTGGCGACACCCCCGAGCGGCTGCCAGTGCTGTTTTGGTGTGCAGAGTGCCCTCTGCTAGTTGTGAGCACCTAGCTTGGCAGGGAAATCGCAGCCACAGCCTCAGACTTTTGGAATCTTGCCACCTCCCCAGGACGCTGCCTGCAAAGCAGACCGCAGGCTTGTTGCACGGGACCCTGTGAATCCCAGCTTCTCATGGGCTCCCCTCTGTGTTCTTCCTGCTCCCAGCAGGAAGACATTTTCCCAGAGGGAAAGCCCTTTTTTTGCTCCAGCTGTATTTCTCCCATACGTTATGGTTCTACTCCAGTCCACACCATTTCACCCAGGAGACTGGGCTTTAGGAGAGTAGCAAGAGATTCAGACTAGCTCTACTTCTCATCTGGGCTCCTCTCTCCAGGCAGCAGAGCAGTAAAAGCAGCTGCCGGGGCTGAGAGGTGAGGCTGAGCAAAACAAAGGGGAAACAGGAGGGAAAAGCCCACTGGAAGGAGTGTCTTACCCAAAGAGCACAAATATTATTTGAAAGGAAGTCTGTGCTGCTGTGTTCATTGCAGCACCGTTTACAGCAGTCAGGGGACGCGACCGCGAACATGAATGTCCCAGAACACAAGGCTGTGTCAAGCTGTGGTCTACACACACACACACACACACACACACTGGAATACTCAGAGGCTGGGCTCCTCCTTGGTGTGCCACCATCTAGTCCTATGGAACTTCTTTATAAAGTAAATGGAAAAGTTTACAGCCAGCATCAAATAGCAGGGAACCGCCAACATCCACTTCGCAATCTGTGCATTCATTTGTATACATCGCTTTATGCGGTAGTATATTTGAATTAGGAGTTAAAGTCTTTGATGACAATGTTTGGGTCTTTTGGAATAAAATTCTGATAAGAGAATGGGGGAGGGGATTTTTTTTCACTGAGCAATTACCACACAAGATACTAATGTAACCACTTCTTGTATCTTACTTCATTTAATCCTCATAAAAAGACTATGTAATCGATACAGTTTCTGTTCCCATTTTACAGATGATAAAACTGAGACACAGAAAATTTGAGTAACTTAATACACATCAGCCAGCTAATTTTAGGCAAAGTCTGGTTTTGAACCCAGACAGCCTGGTTCCAGAGCCCACATTCTTCACAACCAAGCTGAACACGACTGAGGCAGTAGGTGCTAAAAATGCCGCTCCGCATGTGCTATTTGATGCTGGCTGTAAACTTTTCCATTTGCTTCATAAAGAAGTTCCGGAGGGCCAAGGGGATTGCAACTGAGATGGAAAAATGCACAAAAATATGTAAAAATAAACTAATATAAATTTTTTTAAATGCAAAAAAAGAAGAGGTTCCGGGGGGAGGGGGGCAGGAACCCACAATGCACTTGCTAGTTGGATTTAGAGTAGTCACTTACCCTTTGCATCTGTTCTAATTTTGTAGTCGGCAAGGCATTTTTGGATACAATAACTGGTTTACCACCCTGGGAGATGAGTAAATCATCAGCTCCTCTCTACAGATGGGGGAGGGGAAGCTGGTCACACAGTGGAGGCTCCCCGGGTCATGCTAATAGGAAATGATAGCTCAGAACCTTCAACCCAAGCCTTCTGGATTCTATCAGAATTCTTCACTTACTTGCTTGTTGGCTTTAATATTCAAACGGGTAGGTCTGTTAGAACAGGGGAAGGGATGTCAAGATGCTTGCACCAACCAAGCAGGCAGAAAGGGCTACCCCGGAAGGGAAAGGCTGTTAGAAGGGACGCCCACCTGGTCCCAGATGGGCAGTCTGGGCAGGTTGCTGCTTCTGCTGCTTTGCCAAGGGTCAGTGACCAGAAGAGGTTGGTGAAGAGAATCAATCTCCTGCGCAGTCACTGGCGGGCAGGGGGCTGCTGCCTCCGTCCAGAATTCGTTCCCTCTCTGGCTGCTAGACTGGACTTTCTGCACATATTGCTCACCCAGTAGCGTTACTGGAAATGGACTCTGTAACTCCGTACGGACAGATGCCCGCGGAGTGTGTGCATGCAGGAGTAGACACGTGAGCTTTTGCATGAAACCCCCAGCTGTGTGCCATCTCTGGTCCTTCCGCATCAGGCTGTTCTGTCCCATGTGGGAGTTGCTGGCGAGTTGACTTCCTGAAAATGAGGCACGCTCAGCCTTCGATTTCATTGGCCATGTCGTCAGGGAATACAGCACCAGTGTTAGGACACAGGACAAACAGGCTCCAGATCATCTGTGACTCCAATATGTAACCCAGGGAAAATGGTGTTCTGATTTTTTTAATGTGGGGACTTTAACTGTTCACAGGCATCTTAAAATTGGTCCTTTCCTAAAGAATTCCTCATCTTATCATAGGAGGCTTACTTTCTGCTAAACATTTTCTCCTGTAAGCTTTTGTTGCAACAACATGGGTATAGAACATCTTGTGGGTTTCAGTGTGCAGTCTTAGAAGTCAGCATCTGTGTGGACAACCCGATGGTTGTCCAAATTGTTAAATAGAGAACAGGCGACTTCAGAAGCTCTGGGCATTCGCTGCTGTGACTCCGTTGCTAAGGACACCAGTCCGCGTGTGATCCACACCCAGTTTCGTTGACCCCGTCATTTACTCAGACTTCGTTTTGGAAAGTGTCCTGTCACCCTCCCTCCCCCGTAGCAGATGTCCCTTTCTGGTTATGTCTGCATTCCTTCAGCACTGACCAGCTGCCTGGGCACCAGCAGGAGGGAACCACTGGCAGGCTGGGATGCCGAGGTTCCGGGGACATCTAGAAAGTCAGCCTGATGCCCGTCATCGGTTGATCGTGCATAGCTGTGTTTCGCGGCACATACTCAAATGCACACACGGTCTACATGACAACACGTGGAACTTCAGAGGAACCGTCTTCTTAAGCGAAATGGGAAGATGATGTTCTTAAGACTTAACATCCATACAAGGGTGTTCCAGAAGGGCTCTCTCCAGAGCTGCTATGGCTGAAATAACGTCCTGTGTCTCTAGATAGCCACTTGCAGGGACGGCCGTCCTCTGTGCTCATACTATGCTCTACATTCCAGAAGTCAGCCTCTTTCTTCAGTCATTTATCTGAGTTCGGTGCTTCCTTTTTTTGGCTAAAATCTTTTCTTAGTATTTTGGAACCATCTGAGATAAATGGCTGAAGAGACACATGAGCCCTTCTGCCGGGCTGGCTGCATCTCTGCCACTGGACCTGCAAGGACAGGGGCTGTCTGTACCTGGCGTCTTTAACAGTTCTCTCTCTCCGCAGGCATTTCCTATTCAAAACAGGAACAGGGACGACGCCGCTGTTCAGTACTGCAACCCCAGGGTACACCATGGCATCTGGCTCTGTCTACTCGCCGCCCACTCGGCCACTGCCTAGAAACACCCTATCGAGAAGCGCTTTTAAATTCAAGAAATCTTCCAAGTACTGTAGCTGGAAATGCACCGCACTGTGTGCCGTAGGGGTATCGGTGCTCCTGGCAATTCTGCTCTCCTATTTTATAGGTAAGAACCAATGTTTCGATTTATTTTGCCTATAAATCCGAACGGTAGATTGGTTTTATTTCTTTACCCGGTCAGTGGTGAGGTTACGTTGGGTGCTGCCGACCTTGGTGACGCAGGGTCCCGGGGCATTTTCAGAAATGTGCAGCCTCTTGAGACAGAAAAGCCGCATTTGTATCACGAGTGCTCGCTCCGACGACGGGTAGTTTGACGTAGCCCTGGTGCGACCTGGATCGCTCTGTGAGGTTCCACTTGCACAGTCCTCTGGTGGGAAGGGTCCCGGCGGGCTCTCCGCGCGGCATCTCAGCTACGGTGACGTCAGCGTCTCTCAGCTAACTCAGCTGTCTAAATGCAAAACGCATCACTCAGGACCATCATCTTGCACTCAGGAACACTCTCCAGAGAACGGTGCAGTCATAAAACGACCAGTGGATTCTACACTCAGTCAGATAGGGAGGATTTTTCATCTTTTCTGATGTAGTATTGATCAAGTTTTCATTTAATAGTAACCCAATGATGGTAGCTGCTAATAGAAGTTGTAAATATTCCTCTATTTAACTATTTCACAACACCGAGGAGCATTCAGGCTATTGGAAATTGCGTTTTAAAATGTCAGAAATGACCACATCCCATTCTGATCTGCTTCTAAGGGGTGGGGGGGAGGGGGGGAGGTCCGGCACATGGAAATGCTAATGGCGTCCAGTGAGATAAATCACAGCCTGTGTGGTTTCTCCACCACGAACAGCAGCCGGTGATGCGTTCTCAAGTTTACAAAGCCATCCGTGGTGCCCCGTGAAATTCTACAGCTGAATATGAGTAATACGGAGCTGTGGCTGAAATCCTGGGATGCTTTCGCAGGGAACCAGTTTCTATCATTAGCAACAATCCCCCTGGGTTATAAATGGTGGACTTGGAAAGTGAAATAGCCATATGGAGTTACAGCCTTTAGGAGAAAAATAGAATTTTACAGCACGAAGGAACTCGAGGGATAATTGAGTCAGGGAGAGCAACTCAGCAGCATGTCCCAATGATTACTTCCGATTCTTTGACCATGGCAATGGCGGACATCACTAATGAATCGGCACCCTTTCCCCCAACCTGCTTCCAGGCTCGTTATCCCATCACAGCACTTCACACAGCGCCTGGTACAGCCACTGTCCATCAGGGATGAAAGCAGGAGGAAACCTTTGTGTCATTTTTCAACCTAAGTTAACTCCCTCTTTGTAAAAATGGTCAAGCCAGGTACCCAAAGGGTTGGCACTTGGCTGAGATCACACACTAATGAAACTCAGCCGTGCAGACTGCTAACACCCAAGGTAAGTCAGGAGCAGCACAGGCGAAATCCATATTCAGAGACAGATTTCCAGTTTCCAGCAGGAAAATAGCCAGCTATTAAAAGAAGCTCTCCTAGTTAGTTGCATAAATTATTTGTATCTGTTGGCAACGTGTTGCTAAAGAATTTTAAATGGTTCTGAAATACACTTTCGTAAGTGGGTTGTAATAAATTAAGCATATTTATTTTAGGGATTTTTTTCCCCGCTGGGGTACATCCCAAACAGATAGTAAACACTGTAAAGGGCTGGAATTCACCCTCTGTGCCCATACCGACGGGCATCCTTTCTGATCATCTCTCATGTTAAATACAGTATTAGCTCTGATACCTTCTATTTTCATTTGTGTTATGTCACACGAGCAGGAAAAACAGCAAGTCAGTGTGAGATTAGATCACTGTTGTTTTCCAGACTTCTGCTCTTTTCAAGAATTCTTTAGTGAATATCGTTACCAGAATTCTAAGGAAGAGCTCGGAAGGTCCCATTTTTTTCAGATTGCCTGTTTTTATTGTTAAATAAATAGCTAGCATTGTGCTCTATCTCTACAGTACCATCACATAAGCTTCTCCCTTTGATTTCATTTCTCCCCACATGGAAATGTGCAGGTCCAGTGGTTAATGCACACACGTCCTCTTGTCATTTCAGCAGCTATTTCTTGAACATTTGTTCTGAGTAGTTATCGTGCTAGAGACCGAAGCAATACATTCCAAGGGTTACCTGGCAAAAATTACCTGTATCATCAGAGAATTAGCTCCTGCTTTTATTGTTGTAATCAAGCATCAATAGACTTAGAATTTTCAATGGTTTTCCTCACACTCAAATGGCTCATACACTAGCCTAGGGGCTTTTTAAAAATCTGGTAAAGATTTTATTTATTCATCAGCATGAGGAATCTTTTTTAAACAAAGATTCTGCTTTTCTCTTGAGAAAAGGAGTAAGATAGCACTCTCAGGGAAGCTGTCCTATCGCATTCCAGCAGAGAAGGAGAAAAGGGACTCCCCCAGCCTGTCCAGCTAGATCCATGTGATAAACCCCTGAACCACGGGAGGACGAGGTCATGGTCAGCCTGACTGTCCGTGGAAAACGGACAGCCTCGGGAAGTAAGTCAAAGGGAAAAGCTTGAGGAATTATCTCAATCCTAGAATTTTCTTTCTTGCCTCCAGTAGAATAACGAGCGATTTTAAAGAGGTAGCATGAACATGTCTCTCCTCTAAAATTAAATTCACCCCAGGATCATCAAGGTGAAAAACTTAGCAAAGGAGGGAGGGAAGGGAACCGTTTGGGTTTTGTTTTTTCCTATTCTGATCAGAATCGCACAATAAAGAAAGATCTGAAAGAAAGTGAAAATTAGTATTTATTCCCAGAGTTAATACTGTTATCTTTCTAGATATTTTCCTTGCATGTATGCAGGTAGAATCAAATATTTTTAAATGCACTTTTTTGCCAGGCTGTCCTGCTTATCATTCAGGAAACATTATAGGTCTATAATTTTATTTAGTGGCTTTTTTTTTTTTTTTTAGAGAATGGATTTTTAGCTCTGAATTGTTTGGATGTCAACAAGAAATTATAGGTAACATATTGAAGGAGCGGGGTGTTAATGCCACACAAAATGATGAAATTATTTTTGCTTAGAATAGTTAAGTTTGTTCTTACAGTTGCTGGTAGATGGCAGTTATACCGGCAGGCCTGGTGGAGGCCTGGAAATGTCTCTCTCTTTTTTT